AAGTGCAAACTTAGTTCGGTTAGTTACCTCGGCTAAGGACTATCAAGAAGTTTTGACTTATTCAAAGCTACTAGTGTCAACATGAAGTGTTAGTCCGGTTGTACGCTGACTAGACTTTTACCTAGCTTAAAACAATATCCTAGTTCGGTTGCATCATGATTTTGGATCAAAAACCAATTTTCTACAGGATATTTCATATAGTCATAAGTTCTATGGTTAAGTTTTTTCCATAAGAGTACAGAGCAAAGCAAAACGGAAGAAAATGTTTTGCAAAAACACAGAAAACAAAACACAGAAAGCAACATATGAAAACAAAGTAAATGTGCAATACTAACCAGAAGAAGAAGCAAGAAACTGAAGATAGAAGCAAAAGGCAGCAAAACACGAGCTTAGAAAATGAATAAGCAATGGAGGCTTAGAGAGAGAAGTTGTAAAGTGTGTTGAAATGATGAGACTCGTTTTAGGTAAAGGGAAAAAAAGGCGGGACTGTTCAAATTTCACGAAGTACGAAGACGGCGTGACAGCCGTCCTCAATCAATCAGTGTGTGCCACGTGTCCCAGGAAGGAGAAACGATTCAGTTGCTGTGATTGAAGAGACGTTTTGACCGAACAAGCAGAGCCCGGTGTAAAATTAGCTCGGCTGGAAAGCTTAAGAGTTTTAGCTCGGCTGGAAAGGCTAATGGTTTTTAGCTCGGCTGTAAAGGCTTAAAAACTTCAGCCCGGTTGATAGACAGGTAATCCCTATCATGCTGCGCAGATGGAATTAAGGGGCAATTGAGAGGGTAATTTTTGTAAAAATTGGGCCGAGCTGGGAGATGTCATTATGGCCCACAATACGAAGGGCTGAGTAAAAAGGCCGTAAAAGTTACTCTGGCCCAAGAGAGATACAGAATTACTCCGGCCCGAGATAAGTGTAATGTTACTCCGGTCCGGAAGTGACTTGGAGTTAGGCCGGTCTCAGATTTAGTCCGGTCATGGCGTATTGTTGATAGGACGGTCAGAACCTTGCTACTCGGTAGCTCAGTCTAAACACACCATGGTTTGTACATGAGAGAACCGATATAATGAGGAGTAAAAGGAAAAACCGAACTAACGATAGTTCGGCCTACTCTGCGACTCAGCATAGCCATGATTACCTCGGTCATGTTGGGGTTCGGCCATGGTAAAAACCATCTCACTTGGTTTAAGCAGTGAGGGGGGTGTTGAAGGATAAGCATTATCTTTCAGGAGTATGAATCCTAGGAGGACTCTACATGGAGGAGTAGAAGTCCTACTAGGATTATGCCACACAAAACCTATAAAAGCTCACAAACATCACATTGGGAGAGGTAACACACAACTTTTCTTTCTGAATACACAGAGCTTTTGTCTATTGGTCAAGTTTACTGACTTAGGCATCGGAGAGGTTTCCGGCACACACCCGCCGGCTAGCTCACGTTTGTGTTTACAGGTGACAAAGCGACGACGTACAGAGGAGCGCAGACTTGATCAACAGGATTATATGAGAAGGTTTATTTCTTTCCCGTACACTTTTCAATGTTAATTAACTCTCAATTACATCAATCTAATAAATTTGGTTATTATGTTAATTTTATTGGGTTTATTATTTTGTTGTACTTTGTGTCCTTTTTTTTAACATAGCGAGCTTGAATGTGCTGCAAGTGTTAAGAGGATGAGATAATGTGTCATTTCAATACTTGAGTTATTTATCTTTCAAGGTTCACTTAGCAGTTTCAGACAGTTCTCAACTTTATTCATATAGTTTTATTAGAGAGGTTGGATGTATTACAAGAGGTTATTTATGAGATATTTAGCTGTGCTATTAATTAAGGAGACATCGTTAATTAGTTTTGCTAGCAATGTTTAATTTAGGAGTATCGTAAGCATGAGTAATTTTCTATTTGTCAAATTGTTAGAAGGCTATAGGAATTTTTTACCCTATATCACTATTTGTGTATGGATAATTTCACTAGGTGGTATTTTTAGGCAAGAATTGATTTATCATTTTGAATTGATTTATTACAATTGAATTTCGTAACAGATCTGATACCAAAAATATTGTTGAAAAACAAAAAATAAATTTTTAGCTCCTTACTATAAGTTGAGAATACTGTCAACGTGAAATTTTCGGAATACGAGATGATTACTCCTCATTTTCACCTTATCACCTGATACTTCATCTACCCCCATTTCAAATTTTTTTTTTTTAATCTACAACCAGTACTCAAAAATCGTGCACCTCTATCATATTTCACCACTACAATGTGAAAGTTAGTGTAAACAAGTAGCGTTCCATATAACAAAAAAACATTTGAACATCGATTACTAGTTTGACAATATGGAATCAAACAATTTTCCTCCGCTTGGCAAAGAATAACCGAATACAAATCATCGATTTGGCATTGGTTATTTGAATGATAAAAACGAGAAAGGATAAAAAAGGCAATAAGAAAATAATGACAAAAAAAGGGTTTGTAGATTAAAGAATAGATTGCCAATAAGAAAATAGGAACTAGATTATAAGAGGTCATAGGTTTAGGAGTGGTATGATTGGCTTGGAGAAGGTGGGAGATTGTTGGGATTAACATTGAATGGGAGGAGTTAAGGTAGAATCGGAAGGTAATAATAGTTAAAGGGTGAGAACTATGGGACGAAAGACGTTGGTTGGAGTTAGTAGTAGTGGCTGGGGTACGAAGTGGCGGTTTAGTTAGGCTGAAAAATGGTAATGGACTTGGCCCAAATGAGCATAGGTCTGGATTTGGGCTTGAATTTGAAGTTCAATTCGGCCCACTAGACCACCCATTTCCACAATAGAGATGATTCATTGGGCTGCCCGTAAACCTGTAAAAAGTTATAAAAAAATGAAGTTACCCACAAGTCATTTTTTGAAAAGTATGTGTTTTATTTAATCTCATAACCTTTTAGATAGACCCAAAAGTCATGTGCCCATTTATCTTCTCTTATTGCTTTGCACATTACTTATTCTCTTTATCTGTATTTCTCTAATACCAGGCGATGACCTTGACTACACCTTCCTTATTTTCTTTCTCTTTATAATCTACAGTCATCGGCGACCAGTGACCGACGACCAGCGACCATCATTGATTGGGGTTCACCAACAACCACTAAGTACCGACTCCTTGTTTTGTGCTCACCGATGGCGAATGATATGAGTTTTTGACGAAGAAAATAAGTAGATCTACATTAGATCCGGCTAGATCTAAATAAAAAATAGTTACCGAAATATAAGCCTTTCTCTACATCTATCTATTTCCTCTTGATCTCTCATTTTTTTTTTTTACTTTTTTTGTACTATACATTTGTATTTTTCTGTTATAATAGAGAAAATATTTAAGTTATGAACAAATTGTTTTTGAGTTTTAGTTACATGCGGTGAAAATAATAAAAGTGTGCGGTTTCAAATTTTTTTTTTGTGCTGAAATGAATCATTATTTAGAATTGTAAAATTTTACAATTTCATAGCATATTTTTAATTTGATTAACAAGGATAAATCCTTAATAAAACCATACTTTGAAACTATAATATTTTACAGTTTCAAAACTTGCTTTTCGATTTTATCAATATTGGATATTATTTGTTTAAACCTTACAAAACTGAAAATAACAATTTTTTTTTTGGGATGTGATTGAGACCCCCATCATCCCCATACACACGTGGCGGGTGGTGATTGGAAGGAAAAAAAAAAAAACTGGCCAATCAGAAAGAGAGGGGGGTCAAAGAGAAGAAGGGGGGGAAAGGGGTCTGGATCATTTGTTTTTTTCTTCTTATTGTTCACGTTTCTTTCTTCTTTTCCCCCCTTCTTTTAGTTTATCAATTTTTAGCACATATTGCTATATTTTTTTTGCTTTAATTTCTTAATTTATTTATTTTTCCCGGCAATATTCTGAACATTCTAGTAAGTCTTCGGAAATATTCTTGACGTCTAGCGAACATTCTAGACATTCTGACAACTTCCAGTGATATTCAGAACACCAACGATACTTCGACGAATTTCTAGTGATAATCCTTCAACTTCCTAGTATGTTGAACATTCCGTGAGTCTCCGGTGACCGTTGATGGAAGTCCGACGGTGGTGAAATGTAGCAACATATTTAAATTAAAAAAAGAGGATATTTTAGTAACAATTAAAAATATGTAAGACTAATTGGTACAAGTATTTTATTTTGAGACTAAATAGATTTTGAATTTTGTGTATAGATCTATTGGTAAGTTTCCCAAAAATGAAAAACAATAGATTGTTTGGTTTCAACTTTCAAGATTTATTTTTGAGTAAATTGATTTTTTTTGTTTTTCGTAATTTTTTTTGTTTTGCTTTCACTGAATTGTTTTTAATATTTTAAGCATTTTTTTTAAAAATTTTTAGATACACCAAACATAAATACACCTAAAAAGTATAATATTAATAAAAAAATCTTTAAAAAGTTCACTATACAAAAAATATAAAAGAAATTTTAGTACATTTTCATATTTTTGTGTATTTAGTGATTTTTTAAAATAGATTTTTTATAAATATTTAATTTGTTAAATACATGTAAGTAAGGTATATTTTTTTTAAAAATAATTTTTTAAAAATATTTATTTAAAAATAATGTAAAAATAAAAAAATTAATTTTTTAAAAATTAAAACCAAATAGAGAATAAAAATTTATAGGACAGGCGTTGGCCCGAACTGACCCATGATGGGGTGGAGGATACCCACACAAGAATGTCATATGCACCCATCTCCATTAAAAAAAAAACGAAAAAAAAAAGAAAAAAAAAAAAAAAACCTCATACTCAAATGCACGCCTTGTACGACCCAACAATAATAGTGTTATCTCTATTAATTAATTAATATATTAATTGATATGATATAATTTTAAAAATTTATAATTTTTATAATAAATGGACCAATAATAATAATGTCATAATATTACAAGTAGAAACAAAGCTGTTTTTTCACAATGATTATTTATTTATTGATTGTGATTATTTTACAGGGTATATGGGCAGTATATGCAATCACAGGTCCGAGCAAACGCATAAGAAGACACCCATTTGGCACGTCGTGGGAGGCTGAGGTTGGGAAAACCAAGTAAAGGTCCTCCTTTCTTCACTGTCAAAAAATAAACAAAACATAATCCCAAAAAAAAAAGAAGAGAGGAGGAGGAAGAAGAAGCAAAAAAAAATGTATTCTTTGATTCCATAAAACAATTTAATTCAAAAACAACAACCCACCCCCAAATAAACACATTTTTCTCTCCTCTCCTCTCTCAGTCTTTCCAAAATCTTCAATTTATGTCACTCTGATTGTCCATAGATTTTTTATTTGCTACATAGTTTTAATTTCATTCATTTTGATTGAATCTTGTTGTTTTTGAGCAATGTGGTTTGATTTGGTCACAATTAGGGCTTTGGTTGAGAGCTGGGAGGTTAATTTGTAATTATTTTTCTTTGGGGAATATGGGTCCGTGTTGCTTGGAGATCTGGCTGATTTGAAGTTGGTTAGATACCTGTATGTTGTTCAATGGTCAATGTTGTTGTTGTTTTTTAGTTGTATATTCTTTATGGGATATGATTCTTTTGGATAAAATTCATTGTTGGGTTGATTGAAGCAATAGCCTTTGGTCAAATTGGTATTGTGAATTTGGGTTTAATTCAAATTTCAAAAGAATCAAATGTGAATGCGGGAGAAGGGTTTGGACCTAACTGGTTGAAAAAGGTTAATACCATTTGGATTTTTTTGTGCAACCGGGTTAGTGAGTTTGTGTCAAGTTTTATCATGGATCATGTTATTGGTGGTAAATTCAAGCTGGGCCGGAAGATTGGCAGTGGATCTTTTGGGGAGCTCTATTTGGGTATGTTCATATTGTATCTCATTTTGCTTTCTTGACATTTGTTTTGATGTTGTTATTGTATATGTTATTCTGAAAAATTTATTGTGTGTTGTGGGCTGATTGATTCAGGTGTTAACATACAGAATGGAGAGGAAGTTGCAGTTAAGCTGGTACGTGTCTTATACTTAAATATCTTGTAAAGTATTTTGAGATTAGATGTATGTTTTATTGTTATTGTTTTCATGTATTGCAACTGAATAGTTGATTACTAAACAATAATGCTTGCATCTGTTTCCATGCTAAATTCTGCTCGTTTACAAACTTCCATTTGGTAATGTTTTTACTAAACCAATTTAACAGGGAATTCATATTCAGCGCTCTGAGCAGGTGTAGACAAGAAATCACTCAGAAAAACAAAAAATAAAAAAAAGCAGGTGTAGATGAGAAAAAAGAAGCAGTGGTTAGTAAGCCGTGTGTTACATGGACTTGAGTATGAGTATCGGGCATGAGTCCAAGCATTAGATCTTCCTAAACCCAAATTTTAGAATATTGTTATATGTATCAAAATTGGGAATGGGTATAGAGGTATGTCGTAAACACTTAAATACAATGCATTTTGCTTAATATTCTTAGATTAAATGTAAATTATTTAGAAATGTACTTCAAATTAAATAGGATTTAGAAATAATATGGAATATACATCTTTAATTCGTGTGAGAAGTTAGAAATGCTTATATGCTAGCAAATGTGAACATATTCTTCTTCAAACATCATAGAATTAGAGGATCTAAAGTCTAACTTGGGTATGGGTGTCGGACACTATCCCATACTCTTATTATTGTCATATTTGGTGGACACGGTTACATTGGGGGAGGTCTCAATTGACGGTTGAGTCTCCCTGTTTGTTGTTCCATTCCCATGTACCTAAACTTGTGGTCTCATTTTCATAGCGGACAGTGGAACCACATGTTGATATATCATTGAGCCATTTTTGTTGTGAAAGTAATGATACCACGCAGTTATTACAGACATGCTACCTAATTATCTTCTTTGCTTTTGGTGCTGACAATTATGAATTGATTTCCCCTATTTACTGCATGAAAATTAACGAGGTCTTTACATTTATTTATTTATTTGCTTTTTTGGTTTGAAATTTCCAGGAACCTGCAAAAACCAAGCACCCTCAGCTTCATTATGAATCCAAATTATACATGCTTCTGCAAGGAGGAAGTAAGTTCCAGTTGTTGTTTGGCGCTTTGGCTTCTCTAGGAACGTGTTTTAATTTTGTGATTCAGTATAGTAATTCATAATATTACAGCAACAAAGATATATTTGTGTTAGATATAAATCAATTTTGTCTGAAATACTGCATTTACTTTAAAGCTGGAATTCCCCATCTCAAGTGGTTTGGACTTGAGGGCGAGTACAATGTCATGGTTATTGACCTTCTTGGGCCTAGTCTTGAAGATTTGTTCAACTATTGCAATCGGAAGTTCTCTCTGAAAACAGTGTTGATGTTAGCAGATCAGTTAGTATGTTATATAACTTTTTTTCTTTAGCAAATGTTTTGTCTAGGTTTTTAGCTTCCACTTTGACAGTTTCTTCATTATCAGATAAACAGAGTTGAGTATATGCACTCGAGAGGTTTTCTTCACCGTGATATAAAGCCTGATAATTTTGTAATGGGTTTGGGGAGAAAAGCAAATCAGGTACTTGATTTAATGTCATGCACATCTTCCAAGTGTTTATGTTGTATGCTGTTCCAGCATCACATATGTATATCATTTTCCATGCATAAATCTCTTTTATGGGTGCTATTTGCTTTGTATATGTGTGCAACAGGAAATGGATTCATTCCTTTTGATTAATGATATATAAGTGACACAAGTTCTTTATCGAGGTAGTGAGATTTGCTTCATATTTTTCTGAAGTTATTTTTGAATTGACTGATCATGCTGCAGGTATATATCATTGATTATGGCCTTGCAAAAAAGTATAGGGATCTTCAAACTCATAAGCACATACCATACAGGTATTCCCTTTATTCTTTTTCATGTTACACTTAGACATTGCATCTAGCTTACAGATTAAAGAAAGAAACTGCATCATGGTTTCTTGCTGTTCCTTTTGCTAGTCTTGTTTTTTGGAGCATGCTTTACAATTTCAATTCAGTGTAATTGAGCAAGTTCTTGGTTGACAACTGGTTGCAGAATTTGCTAATGTCATCTTTTACATGTCTCCGACTTGTTTTGCCTTATAAAAGTTGAAAGTAATGTTCAAATGGCATTGGTGACATGATTAGTTGATGTATTTTTCTTCTCAGATTCTCCTAATAGTCAACCTATTCTTTCCCCTTCTCTTTATCACCTGTTCCCAATTTCTCATCACTGAAATGATTGCATGCGTTAACCACATATTTGATGGTTTGCTACTGGAATGTGCAATGACAATAGTTGCTCAAAATCTTTTTGCACATCTTTTTGGTCATTGCAATTGGAATGTGCAACAACAATAGATTCACTGCCGTACACCTGTTCCAGCCCTCTATGGATGAATTTATTTGCTCTCATATCTCCCTGGATATTTCCTTACACGTTGTTTCAGATTATTGGCTGGGGCTATTCAGATCCCTTACCCTCATATCTAAGGAGTGGATGCAACCTTTTTAGCTGTGAATATAGCCCCCACTCGTTTAGATTCTATGATTCTAATTTAGCTGTTATTTGAATGTTTATGGCATTCTTGTGTTTTTTCAATTAATTATGCCACATTTACAAGAATTACCACTTGATTGTTAACATGACTTTTCTTCACAGGGAAAACAAGAATCTTACAGGCACAGCTCGGTATGCTAGTGTTAACACTCACCTCGGAGTTGGTAAGTACTTCATCAATTATGTTTTCCAATTAGTTACTGAAGCTTTTTTCTTATAATAATTTTGTATTACATGCCATGCCATTTAAATCTTATTTGATTTTCTGCAGAGCAAAGCAGAAGAGATGATCTGGAGTCTATTGGTTATGTGCTTATGTATTTCCTCAGGGGAAGGTTGAATATGTCCTATTACCTGTGTAACTCTTATTATATCTGATCCTTTTAGTTTGTCTATATTCAAGAAGTTTGTTGCACGATTTTACATTGTCCTGATTTGCTACATTCCTGTGCATCAGCCTTCCCTGGCAGGGTTTGAAGGCTGGAACAAAAAAACAGAAATATGATAAGATTAGTGAAAAGAAGATGCTTACTTCTATTGAGGTATTAGCCTTTGGTAATTTTAGTTGTGTATGGTGAATAATGTGAAATTTCATGGATAAATAGGATTGAACTCAGCAAAAATTATTTGGTTAGTGTATCAGTCAAGCAAGTACGGGACACAGAATATACATTGAATATTAAATTATCTTCAACAGGTCCTGTGCAAGGGTTATCCATCAGAGTTCACATCATACTTCCACTATTGTCGATCATTGCGGTTTGAGGATAAACCAGATTATGCATATTTGAAGAGATTTTTCCGGGATTTATTTATTCGAGAAGGTCAGACCCTTGAGGTTCTACTTGCTAATTCTTCATCTATATTCTTATGGATAGCGTGTCATGTAAACATTCAGATAATGATAAAAATCACTTGCATATCCTCATCTAAATCTGCTATAACCGCCCCTGCCCACGCAATGTATTCATCTTCATCTTCTTCATTTTTTATCTTTTATTTTTTGGTGGAATTTCCCTCTTATATTTTATAATCCTAAATTGCAAATGCGTAAAAATGAAATGAATGTAATATAGGTCTCTGCTTTGAGCAACCATTTGGATGGATATCACTTGAATGACCGGTGTGAGAGAGGTAGATCATAGAAAAAAAAGGTCCAGGGAGACTGATTTTGCGGGTAATTTAAGAAACTATGAAGACAAACCAACCCAATGGTTGTAGAGAAGGAAACAAAATTTGAATTGGATGGATTTGAGCCTTTAAAGGTGACGGGAAAGAAAAACAGTTGCCATATGTGGGTCTTTAAGTTTTAAGTGTTCAAACTGATAACCAGAACTTGCCTGTCTTGAAAGAATGGAAATTGATCTGGTTAACAAATCAAAAGGGTTGCTGATTCAACAAGCAGTCATATGATTCTGGCTTTCAAATTCAAAACCTGTCTTTTATTATTATTTTTATTGGCAAACATTTCAAAACCTGTTAACTAATATATAAAGCTTGAACACAATTCAATTCACAAAATCCTTTTTAGTGGTCAAACCAAGTGTGCACAAAAAAAAAAAAGAGGGAAAAATGGCTTTGGGGTTTTCAATGAAGCTTTACTGGTTATGGTCGGGGTTGTCCAACTACTGAGTGGGTTCTAGTTTCAAATATTGCATTAAGTATTGATCCCAAATCAGTATCAGTGTTGTTCATGATCTTCTGGAATGAAGTGAGCATGCTATGTTTTTTTTTTTTTGTTATTGTTGTTATTATTGTTTCTGTCATTTTTGTCGTTATGATGATTTTGTTATTGGTGTTTTTATCATTATTATTAATTTTATCGCCGTCATTATTTTTATTACAAAAAAAGTAAGTAGGTAGTCTAGCATCTCATATTTATGTGATGCAAATACTTCTGTAACATAGCAATTGGTTAAGAGGTATACTTTCTTTGGTTCCTACTTTACCAATTCAGAGTTCTACACAAGTTAATTCAGTGGGCATGGATTGTGCTCGTCTTTAAGATTCATGAAAAACTCTCACTTATTTTCTTTATTAGGCGAATTGAAATTTTGGATCGTTGAGATTTACTGATAAACAATTGCCACAGATGCCTTGCCAGTTTTAGGAATCAACAAAGGCAACAATGATCAACACGGAATCATCTTGTTTCTTAAAATGAGCTACTAAATCAATTATCAACTAATATTTCAATAGTTAGTTTAAACTATGTGCCTTAGAAGATAATTAATGAGCTTTGATTCTAAAATGAAAAAGAAGGCCATTTCAATTATTTTCTTGGTTCAGTGTCTTCAGATTGATAACATTTTAAATTGAACGGATTGGAAATTGGATTGAAATTTGAAACCAAGGGGGGAAATTCGTACAGCACGAACGAGTGATATTCTTCAAGAGTGCTTTCCTAAAATTTAATTCCGTGATGTACTTGTGCAGGCTATCAATTTGATTATGTATTTGATTGGACAATTTTGAAGTACCCTCAGATCGGTGCCAGTTCAAGACAAAGGGTCAGTTCTTGTATATGTTATAATGTTTGACTTTATATTCTGTTTATGTATTAAATTTATTGCTCGTGTCTACTTCAGCAAGCAGCAGCCAAACCAGCTTTAAATGCTGGACCATCTGGTGAAAGAGCGGAAAGGCCTTCAGGTGTGTTCTACTCTAATCAGCACAAGCACTACTATGCATGTGTCATATCAATTCTTATTTTCTAAATTAATTTTCATATTCCTTTTAGAATTTTTAGATGGTTCACCTGCTGTGCTTTGTCACATGTGGCTCTCCACTCATGACTGTCTATTCTTCAATATGATGCTGATGTTTTTTTCGATACTAGCTGACTCCAATCTGATACATAATGAATAGACTGCAACCTTGAGTTTATTTCCAAATTTGTGAAAAAGAACAATTGAAAAAGACATGCCCAGTGGTTTATACGTGCAATCTACAAACTTGTGCCAAACCAAACTAAACCAAACCTTGTGTCCCAATAAAGTGGGGTCGGCTACATGAATCTTTTTTCGTCATTCTGCTCTGTCAAGACCTATATGCTCAAATTAAATAAATACATGTCATTTTTAGACTTGCGCCAGTTTGGGAAAAAAAGAAGAAAAGAAGAAAAAGTTGAAGGCCTGTCTAGTAACCTTGCAACCACCTCCTGCTACCCCTCCCTCCAGACTCCAGCCACCCTCCCCCCTCTGGCAACCACCTCTGGCCACCCTCTCCCACTGGAAACTCACGAAACATGCTTTCTTATCTTGGTTTTTGTGACTTGAAAACATGTGTTTACCAAACAAAAAAAGAAAACAAAAGACATGATTCTTGTTTTTTGTAAACAGAAAATAGAAAATTGGCAACATTAGCAAATGCTACCTAAGGTGGCCCATACACACAAACGTAAAAGTCATGTCCCGGAGATTGTGTCTATATAGGTGTGGGTGCCTTTGTAGCGTAGCTTGTTTTCTCGGACAAAGCAAGGTTTTGGATAGTATTGTCAAGTTTGAGCTGCTGACTATCAGACTTGATCAAGTTTTCATGTGTTCACAAAGTCCTGATCTTTAGTTTGAGCTGACAGCTCATAAAGGATTTCCTGTTGGGTCTTGTTTGGTATCATGTTTTAGGAGTTATCTATTTAAATGGACAAACAGATGTCATATGGAAACATGCTTTCCAGACATTCTAGAGAATCATTATTTCAGTATTCTTGTATAAGGAAATGGTTATGTTGTATAATTGGGAAGACATTTGCTCTCAATGTAGGAGATATGGGTCTAAATCCTACTAACCATATGATTCTTTAAAAACCATACTATGTTCTCTCTTGACATTAGAAAAATGGACCTAGAAACCTTAAAGTCAATAAAATAATAAGAGAGAGCGGGTGGGAACCTTTAGTTTAAACATAACACACCTCAAAATGTGTCTTGTATATTTACTGTTCAGAAAAATTAAAAATGTTGTAGGACCGTTGATTCTAATTTATCTGACCCATATCATATTAAACTATGATTATTTTACCAAAATAGCAATAGATAATTTATGGGTTGAAGTTATTTTAGTCTTGAACGTCCTTAGAAAATTTATTTTGACTTCTTTTTTACTCTGGACAAAAAAAAGAAAAGAGAAGGGTTTAAGAAAATAATGAGTCTGATTAGTTCCTATTAAATTCTCTAATTATCAAAAGAATAATAAATTATGTATGAGTATTAGTTATTTTCACTTTAGAAGTGGTATAATGGCATTTCCACAAAAAAGAAAAAAAAGAAAAAGAAAAAGAAAAAGAAGAAGTAACAAGGTTCAGAATCTATTAGACCTGATATCTCCAAGAATTGCATGGATCATAAATTTGTGAAGTGAACCGTGAATCACAACATTCATCCCTGAAAAAAAAGATTTACCTATTCATCCACATCGATCTATACATGAATCGTGAATCATTAGATTTTGACAACTATGTTTTCATAGATGCCACCAATTTGATTGTGAGAGTTTTTAGATAAGAAAAAGAGCTTTTGAAATTGATAACAAAGGCGCTTTCAGAATCAGATCACTATGATAGGTTCTTGGGTGTTTCAGCTTGTATCTTTTTTAAATGTAGGAGAAAGAAGTTTGTTCAATATCTCATAGATTCAAATGCTTGCTATGTGATGAGTTTAGTGGGACAAGAGATTCGGGATAGATTCTCAGGTGCGGTGGAAGCATTTACCAGAAGAAACACATCAGGTGTTAGACTGCATGGTGATCATTCCAAGCACAAAGCATCCGATGATGTCCCATCTTCTAAGGAAGTGGTGAGTAATGTGAAAAATAATTTTGTGTCATTTTGTTTATTGTTTGCATTTGTTTATTCTCATTTATCGTTGTTTCCTTGATTGGCCATCGCTTTTATTTGCATAATCAGGACTGATTCACGGTTTGCTTCTTTTTGGTAGAGTTTAAAGGTGCTTTTGTGATTCCTACCTTAGAATGTGCTCGATTACAAAAAACTAATGATAAAATGTGAATAATGTGCAAATGAAGATTAAATAAAACATAGAGTAGAGTATGGTTATGCTAGTTAATTTTGACTTCTGTTCAAATGTGTTTGTCAGTTTGCATTTGTTCCCTGAATTTTCATGGGAGTCAGAATATGATTTTGGATCACTATGAATTCAAGGCTTGGAATGGATTGGAATAAGAAAGTGATTATCAAACTAAGAATCTGATTTGTTATGAGAATCACACATTTCTTTAAGGATTGTTACCCATTAAGAGTTTTTTTTAAAAAAAAATTTGTCCTCATAATATTTAAAATTCTGAATTTTTTGGAAATTGAATTTTTTGTTTTTCATGTTTTTTATTTTTATTTTTAGTGAATATTTTTAAAAAATTAAGTAATTTTTTTACTCTTTTAGATGCACATCACTTAAATGTATTTAAAAAGTAAAAAATATTTATAAAAAAATAAATTAAAATTAATAAATACACAAGAATAGTTTTTTTTTTGTATTTTTGGTATTTAGCAAATTTTTTAAAGATTTTTTTCACAAATATTATATTTTTTAAGTGTTTTTATGTTATGTGTATCTAAAAATTAAAAAATAAAAATCGTTTAGAATATTAAAAAATACCAGTGAAAACAAAATAGAAAAAGAAAACAAAAAATTTCAATTTTTTAAAAAATAAATTCAGAAAATTACAATTAAACAAGGTTTTTTACCTATAGAGAGTTCCCAACAAAACCAAACACTCAAATAGTATCGACGCAAATTTTATTGCTAGTTATGAGATTCCTATTCCCCATCAAGTTTTCTATCATCCAAACATTTTGTTGACTGGCTTTCCCCAAAATTTGTTTTCCCTTTCTTTTACCCTTCCCCTTTCTTACACTTTTTTTTTGGCAAATTACAAACACCTCCCTCGAAGTTTGGTGAAAATACAGATTCTTCCTGAGGTTTGAGAAATTACATCCCGTCCCTTGAGATTTATATTTCATAACAAATTGCTCCCTGAAGTTTTTATTTTCATACAGATTCCCTCCTAATTTTTCCTAATTTGTTATGAAAATTTGACTCTCAGGAGGCAATTTGTAATTTTTCAAACCTCAGGGAGAATCTGTATTTTTATCAAACCTCGAGGGAGTGTTTGTAATTTGCCCTTTTTTTGGGGGGGG